CCCCAAAACCCCAAAACCCCAAAACCCCTGGTATCAAATTATTTGAAAGTAAAGCAAGTTAAGAAATTAATTGAAAATTTTCTATGATTATATTAAATACATTTCATTACTAATATTGGTAATTAGGGTAGTTATTAATTTACTCATCATCAATCAGTATTATCTTTATTAGCTTAGTGAATTTGTTACCTACTATTCAACAATTAGCTTCTATTGTATTAGTTAAGTAGCTATGGACTGGGACTATAAAGCTAATTGTTCGGATATTCTTGCATATTAAACTGCTCTTGGAGTTTATGTTCCAGTTCATACCAAGGTGCAAATGGGTCTGACCTGTCTTTGATTTCTTCAAAACCACATATCTGCCCGAAGTCGTAGTTATTCTTATCATATAGTTACTTACCGCTCTTTGTCAATTATTTGCCAGATCTACTGTTACTTGATGGAGTACCTCCACATTTAACATTTTTATGCGGGATAAAGTCATTTATAAATCTTGAATTCAAATTATTGTAATGAGTTTACCCAGTCCGCATACTTTCTCTTAGATTATTGTATTTAGTAGTAAATATACTGCTACCTCTATCAAAATCATACAAAGATTCTTTGGGTTGTCTAGTAACCATACCGCTTCCCTCTAATCTGAACTCTAAAATGTGCTCAAGAGAAGTATCCTAGTTTTGATTATTAAATTTCTTTGATTTAGATTTCAAAAGATTTTTTGGAGTCTTATTTTCTCTGAGCTTCTGGCTTTCTCTTAGGTTACCTAATATAGTTTAAACTAGTTTAGAGCTCCCCCCTAGCAATTTAACATTTTTATCTTTGAAAAGTTTTGAACCGTATTTGTTAAGATTTAGTTCATCAAATTTTTTAGAAAGTTAAAGATTCTCCTCAGTGTCATTATGAGAGAGCAGAGAATTGTGCATGGCAAATCTTAAGTATTTAGAGGGCCTTAAAGCCTCCTGTAGCTTTAAGCTTTATCTTAAGGGTAGTTTAATAGACGGGGAATTATTTTATGAGAATGACATGAGTTTTGCAAAATATTTTTCAGGCAATAGTATCGGCACACTCTTTTTAGTGCTTTTCATTTATTTTTGTTCTACAGTGTTGCAATCTGTAATCTAAATACTAATCTCTTCATATTTATTCTTGAGTCCTCCTGAATTAGGCTATTACCGTGAAATCTATTATTAGATTGATTATGATAAGCTTTGATCTTTGTAAATCTAATTTGGTATTTCTATGAATTTTCCACAATTCGTTTTTGTAATCCTATAGGCCTGTATTTTATCCACTAATTTATCAATAATATTCACTGCTTGCATCTTATTTTTTATGATTAAGTCAGACTGACTTTCTTTTTATCTTCACTCTAATTTTTCTCTGTCTCTCATTTATTATATGGGGTTTTCCAATGAGCTTGAAACGAATTTAATCTTAGCCTTGCTGTTTTATTTTATGATGAGCTATTTTCTCTCCATTAGCTTTCTCTTAAGATCGGGAATTTAAGGGCTTTACATTTCTGTCTGCGAATTAATGTTAAGAATAGACTGTTCTATACTCTCACTGACTTTCTTAAGTGCCATTGCAGATGTTAACTGAGTTGAGTCAAAGAGTCTGCTCTTTCATAGAAAACTATTCTTCACTCTATCCTCTGACTCATTATTCTAGTTCATCGAATTGAGATTCCCGAAATCTGTTTATATACTCATATTTTAGAATTGAAGTAAATTGGATTTCCTAAAATTCTCTTGGTATTTGATTTAAGTTTTCTTATCAGTTTATAATGGGGGTAAGTTGCCTAGATTTATATGAAGTTTTTTTTAATTTTCATTATGTTAAGATCTGTCAACTCTGAAATGCTTCTATTTGTTATGTAAGCCTCTTATTTCCATGCTTAAATTCTTTATAGATTAATTAAGCTCTGAAATAATTTTCAATTAATTTTTAATGTATATCGTATCAGAAATTTCCTAATATACCTACTGATGGGGTTTTGGGGTTTTGGGGTTTTGGGG